ATAGAAATGCAGATGCTGTAATCCATGATGTATATGTAAAAACCTTTTCTCTGCTTTTTCAATTTTAAATATGAAATGAAAAACTTTTTTTCTGGAAGGACTTCAATAGTAGTCCTTAATTTTTTCCTGAAGGGAGTTTCATTTTCTCCTTTGTTGTTTCATGTGGTGACATCATTATCTACTGTTTTCTTTTCTCCTTCCTATGTAAACCAGTGTCTCATCACACCAGAAAAGCCTGATCACATATACTGATTTTCTGAATAAAACCCTAAAGGGGCCTTGTATAGTCCGGTCTTAATTATGGTATACAGAAGTCTCCATGACTTATCTCTCACATTCTGTATTCCAGGCCTACCAAATACACTAGGCTGTTCGCACCTGCTCATGACTTTGCTCCAGTGGCTCTCTGCTTGGAGCCCTTCCCCCAAGGTCAGCCAGGTGAACATCTAATCCTCTTTGAGGAGTCAGCTCATATCTGAAGTCCTAGTCCCCTCCCTCCCATCCTGAATCCCTTGTTTGCGTGTCCACTGAACCCTCTACACTTCCATAAGCAACACCTGTAACACTTTGTGTGTCTCATCTTTGAGGTGTTCCCTTCCATCCCCAGTACCCCAGTATAAGCTGCATGAAGGTAGGGACCCTGTTTCCAGTTCATTGTTATATCCCTAGCATCTGGCTCTTAGTAGGTACTTAGTAACTGAGCTAAATGAAGAATATAAGCCCTTGAGAGCAGGGACTATCTGCAGTTTGGGGCACATAAGAAGCACCTAAATGTTGAATGACTTAATGAATGTGAATTCAGTATTTTGTATATTTACACAACCATTTCTCCCAGGGTATGTGAATTGTCACAGGGATAAGTCTCTTTAAAAATTCAGGTTGAATCTGGATGTCTTTGAGTAAACTGTTAATATGTCATTGTCCAACCCCCCCATATATACTATACAACAAATGTGTTTATTTCAGTTTTGTGTGTACATTTTTTTATGAGTTTTAATTTCAAAATCTCCTCTGGTTCCTAGCCTCTTTCCAGGCAAATAGAATGTGTTTGGTTTACTGCTCACTTTCTGTTATCCTTATAATTGTAGTATTAAAGGTGTTAGCATTTATGAGAACTGTATTTGCCCATTCCAGAAGGACTAGATAATGAGAGTTTGGGTATCATGAAAGAACTTTTTTTTTGAAATTTTTTTTGACAATGGGAGTTTTTGTGGTTGCCCTTTTCCTGAAGTGAATGACCCAGATACTAATGCAAATTTAGCATAAATTGGAAGAAAATAATTACTTTAAAAGATGGGAGCATAAAAAGAAACTTTGGTAGAAAATATTTTTCCCTGTCAAAGAAATAAATGGTTATTTTAGACGATCTGAGAAACAATTCAAGGTAAATGATTTATGATATTTTCAGTTGACAAAAGTAACTTTTCAAGAAATAGTATATAATTAACAGAGCTATAGGAATAAGGGCGTATTTCTTTAAAGAATAGACTCTGATGCAATACAAAATTGAAAACGTAATAGCTGATTATAAAGGAATGTGTTTTTTTCTGTAGTAGTTAAAAGATGTCATCTTTCTTTTTGTTGTACAATGTACTTATGTGCTAAGAGCTCTTATAAAGCAGAATTCCAGTTATTTCCTACCAGCAGCATCTGACAGATTTTATTTTTGCTTAAAAGTAAGCCCAGCGCCATTATGATCAAGTTTGTAGTAAGCATATGTCTCTGCTGAGTTTCTTTAGTAGCCTCCTGATGGGTTTCCCTGCTTTCACCTTTGCCTTCCCTATATAGCCTGTTCCCAACACAGAAGCCAGAGAGATTATGGTGAAACAGAACGTGACATTCTGCTCAACCCTCTGTGGATCCTTGTTTCATTCAAAGTAAAAGCCAAATTCCTCACAGTGTCCCATAAACCCTACGTAATCTATACCCGTCTCCACATATCCCTCTCTTGATATGTCCCTCGAACCTCACTGGCCTTGTTGCTGTTCTAGGATACTCTGGGACCTTTGCCCTGCTTATTCCTGTGCCCAGAGTACTCTTCCCTAGGTATCATGGAGTCTAACTCCCTCACCTCCAAGTTTTTTCTCTAATGCTACCTTAAATCCTCTCTGATCATCCTATTTAAAATTGCAGCCTGGAAGTCCCTCTTACCCTGTTTTATTTTTTCCCCATAGCATTTATCACTTTCTAACATACTATCTTACGTTTATCTGTCTCTTTCTACTAAGTGGAAAGGAAGAAAGGAGATTTTTTAAATTAATCTTTCCTAAGTACTTAGAACAGTGCCTGGCACATAATAAGCACTCAGTTATTTGTTTGAATGGATTTCTTTTTTATTTGAGACAGCATCTCCCTCTGTTGCCACAGCTAGAGTACAGTAGTGTCATCATAGCTCACTGTAACCTCAAACTCCTGGGCTCAAGTATTTTTTTTTTTTTTTTTT